GTTCAAATCAATAACGTGACACCTCCCTCAGCCAGAATCAGAGCTTTTAGGGTTTCTTTTACACAACATAAAGGAGCAGGAGTGGATTGAGGATCTCACCCTTTATCTTTACTGAGTAAAAGCTTATATATTATTGAAAATGCATAAATGATAGATTTATACATAGACTGGGCATCGAATCCAGTCCTCTGCTATCACAGGCTACCACATCATAATCTCATTCATAAATTTATCAAGCTACAGCTTAAAATTAGTTAGGTTGTTTTCCACCACTATTCCTATTGGAAAGGTTGAAATTCAGTGTTGTTTAGTGCAAAGTAGTGCACATTGGAAAAAATAATCCCAACTATACATACAAAATGAAGGGGTCTAAATTACCTGTTACCACTCAGGAAAGAGATCTTAGAGTCATTGTGGCTAGTTCCCTGAAAACATCCACTCAATGTGCAGTGGCAGTCAAAAAAAAAACCTAACAGAATGTTAGGAATCATTAAGAAAGGGATAGGTAATAAAACAGAAATATCATAATGCCACTATATAAATCCATGGTACACCCACACTCTAACTACGGCATGCAGTTTTTGTCATCCCATTTCAAAAAATGTATATTAGAATTGGAAAAGGTGCAGAAAAGGGGGGGAAAAACAATTAGGGGTATCGAACAGCTTCCATATAAGGACAGATTTTAAAAACTGGGATGTTAATCTTAAAAAAGAGACAACTAAGGTGGGGGGAGGACATATTAGAAGTCTATAAAATCATAAATGGTATAGAGAAAGTGAATAGGGAAGTGTTATTTACCCCTTCAGATAACACAAGAACTAAGGGTCACCCGATGAAATTAATAGGCAGCAGGTTTAAAACAAACAAAAGGAAGTACTTCTTCACACAACATAGTCAACCTGTGGAACTCATTGCCATGGGATGTTGTGAAGGCCAAAAGTATTACTGGGTTCAAAAAAGAATTAGATGAGTTCATGGATAGTTTCATTAATGGCTGTTACCCAAGATGGTCAGGGATGCAACCCTCTGCTCCTAAACCTCCAACTGCCAGAACCTGGACGACGGGATGGATCAGATTTCTGTTCACTCCCTCTGAAGCATCCAGCGCTTTTTAGCTGTGTTAGTAAAACCTTCATGCAAAATTTATTCAATGTGAATAATTTACTCAGTGCATTTCCATAGGCATCATAAAATGCAATAGCTGATAAAAGATGAATATTCAAATAATCCTCTCAATCTCCAGCAAATCACAGCCATAGATTTCTAATTATTAAAATTATTACATTAGGAGAGTTTATTATCACAAACATGAAAAATTAACTTTTGCCTCATATGAAAATTAAGTTTTATAGAACATCCCAAAACTATGTTCTAAGAACAGAGAGAAGGTACAATCAAGTACAAACAGCACTGCTATTTAACAATACTAGCTCAATATTGAAATCTACAGTACTGTACTCTTCTCTAATGAGACACTCCAATCTATGGTTTTACACACTGTTGCAAGTAAGACAATACTTGCTATGTAAAAACTTTATTGAAGGTCATGCTTTTCTAACAAAAGAGAAATTAAGCAGCAGAATAGAAAATGCCCGTATCTCAGAGAAAATGAATACTCTAACAGAGCCCAGCAATTAAAAAGATATGCACTAGTACCCTGTTTAGTAATCTAATATGTATTGGAAAATGTCTGGTGCTCCAAACTCTGCCATAGTGTAGTAAAAGAAATCAAAAACATTTTTTCTTTTGGGGAAAAAACAAATGTTACTCTAAATTACATTTTATATGGAGGACCTTCAACTCTGTAAAGATGAATTTCCATCTATGATTAAAAATACTGACCTGTAACTGGAGGTTCTTCAAGATGTGTGGACCCTATCTGTATTCCACTACCCGCTCTCCTTCCCTTCTGCTTCAGCTCTTCTCTGATTCATGGTATAGAAAGAACTAGAGAGATGGTCAGTCCACCCTACTCAATGGACACTACTTTCAAATTCTCTGGCTCCGAGCACAGGCCACACCTATGAATTAGAAGCAGAGGGGAAAAGGAAACCCCACATGAACTGTCAGGGGATCTGCGGAGACTTTATGTTCCTGGCATATCGGATACCACCAAACACATTCCAGGATAGACTGGCAATGGACCCAATTTATAGATGCTGAACTGGACTTGGACTTGCACTCCAAACTTTGGCTAGCCAGGTCAAAAAGGGGCAACAGGCTCATAGTCATCAGGTGATCGAATAATATGCTCAGGTCTTTCTTCTCTTGTGTTGTTTCCAGCTGGAGACCCCTTCCCCCCAGTGTACATCAGAAATCCTTCTTCTCAACTGCACTACCTTGCACTGTGTATTATTAAATTGCATCCAATTTCTGTTACCACAGTCCTCAATGTCATCCATTTCCTCCTGTATAAAATTCAAGTCCTCCCCTGTAATGATGATGCCTCTGAACTTTGTGTCATCAGCAAATTTCACTAGCACACTCCTATTTTTGTGCGAATTAAAATATTAAATAAAATCAGTCCCAAGACCAGCCCTTGAAGTACTCCACTAATAACTCCCTCCAGTCTGATAGTTCTCCTTTCAGCACAATCTGTTCTTCTTTGAGTGCATACACATGTCCATTCCACTTTAGGTGTATGTGCACCAGTGCCAGAGAGCTTTTTTCCATAGTGGTACCCGTAAAGGCAGGGCATGCACCCGACTCACGCTTGTGCTGCTTGCCAAGAGCATAAAGGAGCAGAACTTCCCCATCCCCCTCAGTTCCTTCTCACCATCCGTGATCAGTGGTTAGAGCAAGTGTTAACTCTTCACACTTTCCCTTTTTTGTGCTTTAGAGAACTTTATAAAGGCTGATTTTGTAAATAGTTAGTTTAAAAGTTTTCTAGTTAATAGTTAGCAGACTCTGCATGCTCTGTCTGCATCTAACCGCCTGGATGGCTCAGTGGTTTAATCATCGGGATTCTGCCTCTTCTGCTGCAGTTAAAAATGTTCTTTTGAATAGCAGGAAATTGTCTACCAGGTATACATACCTTATGAAATGGAAGAGGTTCTCTGTTTGGTCCCGGCAGGGAAACACTTCTCCTTCCTGGCTCCTATCCAGTTTATCCTAGACTACTCGTTACATCTAAAAGAGAAAGCCTTGTCAGTTAGCTCACCTGTCTACTATCTCAGGGTTTCACACACCTATAGATGCCGGATCCGTATTATCCAATCCTATGACTTTCAGATTACTAAAAGGTTTGGACAGAGTATTCAAAAATGTTAAAAATCTAATTCCTTCCTGGGATTTAAACTTAGTTCTCTCTGAATTAATGGGACCTCCTTTCCAACCCACAGATATCTGCTAGTTGTCACATTTCTCAGGGTAAATTATGATTTTAATAGCTGTTACCTCAGCTAGGAGGGTTACAGAGCTCTGGGATCTGATGGCTGACTCTCCGTACACTATATTTTGCAAGGACAAAGTGGCTTTAGATCCTTACCCCCAAATTTCTTACCAAAGTGGTTTCAGATTTTCATTTGAATCAGACTATTTATTTACTAATTTTCTTTCCAGTGCCCCACTCTCACAAGGATGAAGAGAAACTACATACCTTGGCTATTCAAAAGAGCATTAGCTTTTATATGTGGACAGAACTAAAGAGTTTTGGTTATCTCCATACTTGTTTGTTTCAAGTACTGACCAATTGAAAGGGAAACCTTAAAACAAACAACGTGCTGGGTCATCATCTGAGACTGCTATAACATGCAATATATGGCAGAATGTGAATAAAACAGAGCAGGGGACATACAATTCTCTCCCAAGGAGTTCAGTCACAAATTTAATGAATGCATTATTTTTTAACGAGCATCATCAGCATGGAAGCATGTCCTCTGGAATGACGGCCGAAGCATGAAAGGACATACGAATGTTTAGCATATCTGGCATGTAAATACCTTGCAATGCCGGCTACAAAAATGCTATGCAAACGCCTGTTCTCACTTTCAGGTGACATTGTAAATAATAAGTAGGTAGCATTATGTCCTGTAAATGTAAACAAACTTGTTTGTCTTCGCAATTGGCTGAACAAGAAGTAGGACTGAGGTTTTGTAGGCTTTAAAGTTTTACATTGTTTTATTTTTGAGTGCAGTTATGTAACAAAAAAAAAATTTACATTTGTAAATTGCACTTTCATGATAAAGAGATTGCACTACAGTACTTATATGAGGTGAATTGAAAAATACAATTTCTTTTGTTTATCATTTTTAGAGTGCAAATATTAGTAATCAAAAATAATAATATAAGTGTACACTTTGTATTCTGTGTTGTAATTGAAATCAATATATTTGAAAATATAGGAAAACATCCAAAAATATTTAATAAATTTCACTTAGTATTCTATTGCTTAACAGTGTGATTAAAACTGTGATCAATTGGGATTAACTTTTTTGAGTTAATCACGTGAGTTAACTGTGATTAATCAACAGCTCTAATGAATTGCTTACTTTTCATGTATACTGACAAAATTTTTAATTTGGATATTCTGCATGAATTCTTGGCCACATTGAAGTCAATGGCAAAACTCCCATTGGCTTCAGTGGAGCCAGAATTTCATTCTCTCAACTTATCATGGTTAATAAGTACAAAGAAAGAACAATTCTTATTTTTCTGAAAGTTTCTTAATGCAGTGCAATAACTTTTTACAGTATGTTTTATTGTATGATACAAGAATATACAATATAATCTTTACATTGAATCAGTAGCTCAGAGCTAAAATACATTTCTGATAAATGAGAGGTTGGTTACTTAATAATTAGACAACTTGATGGAACTCATAAGAGAATTATCAAATGCTTCATTTCAAATTCAGACAAATGCATATGCCATATACTGTTTTTGATATGTGAACATTTTTAACCATAAAACTATTATGAATAAAAGTGTAGCATTTAGTTTTTCATAAAATAATCCTTTCAAACTGTACTTATAGTTTCAATCCTATGTTTTTCTAGGTGACAGGATACCCTATCCAGATGCCATACACAGATTTACCATCAATAAGCGAGGCTGTGTATCAAACTGGCATTCATTCTTCAGAAATCCCAAACACAGAATTTGCTCTTGCTGTGTATATTCATCCATACCCAAACAACATCTTATCTGTATGGATCTACTTAGTTTCTTTGGTCCGTCATCAGTAAACAGTGTTGAATTCAATTATAATTAAACTAAGTTACTACATGTTACCTCTCATGGTTTAAGATGGTTATTTAGGCATGAGAACTGGGACATGAGAAGGTAATTTTATACCACAAGAGATAAGCCAGTACTATTTATTGTACATTAATAGAATCTTGTTACTGTAGAGAGATTGTAGCTTTTAAAAATTCTCATTAGATCCATTAGATCTATTATAAATTGACCGTATCATTTTTGCTAATTTCCCAATAACCTGAGACCAATATTAAACTCCTGTAAATCATTAGAATTATCATATTTAGTGTCCAGAGAAGTTGTTTAAATGATTTCTTGGGAAGTAGAGAGTAAACCCTTTGAGGAAAGATCTTAATGGGTTGTTTTATAAAAGAATTAGAATTTAGGGTCTTGCTGCCTCAACACAGTGAATTTCAAACATTCCAAGAGTAACACATAGTTGATACTATTAGTTAAATAAGGTGCTGTAGAATATTGTGGAATGCATATTAATGTTTGACTGGTAAAGACACAGTAGTTTACAATGGTGAATGTGAAAGTTGTGTAATAAAATTCAAGTTTGCAACTTTAATATCCAGAAGGCTTCCCTAAATCTTAAGGCATTGTCCTACTCCTTTGAAATCATTGGGGGCAGGAACAGATCCTTAGTGTCATTGCTAACTTGTGAAGTTCACTTTGTGTGTTATGTTTTATATTCTTTTAATTTTCAGTTCTACGTTTTTTTGGAATGATTAATGGCAAATATTTTGTTCAAGTGGTGTTATGAAAATCCTTACTTTCCTTTAGCAGAATGTTTATGTTGTTTAATTTTTTAAAACTGAACGAGTTTAACTTTAGCATACAACAGTTAATTGTAAACAATAGGATTGCATACAATATACTTTATTATAGGGAAACATTCAAAAGCATAAAGCAAAGCTGTCAAATATATAAATGTTTTTATTATAAACTTTTAAAATCATTATAATATTGATAAATAAAAAACTAGTGGTTTATTAATATTTTATATAGAATTTTAAAATATAAAGTATAAAAACTATAAGGAATATTAAATTAATATTCATTGTGTATATTAAAATATTTTATCAACACATTAGAAAATGCCATTGCTGATGCCACTTGGGACAATTTGGAAATAAAACAGCACACTGATAACTGGGTTTTGAAGTTTGATTATTGTCAGATTAGGATGCTTACTTTGCATCCTCTGTGTATTCAGGGTCATATCTATGGCTGGCAGAGCTAATACATCACTGGAAGAGCTAGAGTCTTTTCTGGCTTGTACATAATCAACAGAATTGTTGGCTAGGTTCCATTTGCAGATTGTTGGTGATGTCAGCCAGCAAGAAACCAGTTTAACCTTTAACTTCCAGGCTGAATTTGCAGCACCGGCAGCCAGGAAAACCTAATCATTGCACTTACAAACAGCAGAATTGATTTGGACTTTTGGAGGTCATTGGAGACAATAAACAGGAAACTCCACTTTGCTATTTTTACATACACTAAAATACTAGAGTTGAACTGCAATTTAAAGGGAGAGGCTGAAACTTTGGATGAAATAATTCAAACTGCAGTGCTACCTTGCAGCCAATTGTCTCAGACTCTCTGTGGTCCTAAATAATCACAAGGCTTGATGAAACCTTGGGCCCTTGAGACCAAGGGTATGTCTACACTGTGAAATTAGGTCAATTTAATAGAAGTCGATTTTTTAGAAATCGATTTGATACAGTCGATTGTGTGTCCCCACAAGCGCATTAAGTCGGCGGTGTGCGTCCACAGTACCGAGGCTAGCGTCAACTTTCGGAGTGTTGCACTGTGGTAGCTATCCACAGTTCCCGCAGTCTCTGCCGCCCATTGGAATTCTGGGTTGAGCTCCCAATGCCTGATGGGGCAAAAACATTGTCGCGGGTGGTTCTGGGTACATGTCATCAGGCCCCCTTCCCTCCCTCCGTGAAAGCAACGGCAAAAAATCATTTCTCGCCTTTTTTCCTGGGTTACCCGTGCAGACGACATACCATGGCAAGCATGGAGCCCGCTCAGCTCACTGTCACCGTATGTCTCCTGGGTGCTGCTGGCAGACGCGGTACTGCAGTGCTACACAGCAGCATCCCCTTGCCTTGCCTTGCGGACAGAAGATGATACGACTGCTACTGTCGTTGTCATCCCGTGGGTGCTCCTGGCCAACCTTGGTTAGGTTGTTCGGGGGCGCCTGGGCAGACATGGGTGCTCCTGGCCGGCCTCGGTGAGGTCGGTCGGGGGCGCCTAGACAAAAATGGGAATGACTCCAGGTCATTCTCTTCTTTAAGTTTCGTCTAATGGAGATTCAGTCCTGCCTGAATATCATGCCAACTGGAGGGTTCTGCCTCAGGCTGCTCTCCCAGTTGGCAGCACCGCGCGGTTGCATCTACCCCAGCCTATCCCTTGCTCCCATGGCTCATGAAACCTGGACAGTAGTAAGGAGCAGTTCAACTATAGGCTGAGCAAGTGCATAATGGTGGTAGAATGTGCCTTTGGACATATAAAAGCACGCTGGCGCAGTTTACTGACTCGGTTAGACCTCAGCGAAACCAATATTCCCATCGTTATTACTGCTTGCTGTGTGCTCCACAATATCTGTGAGAGAAAGGGGGAAACGTTTATGGTGGGGTGGGAGGTTGAGGCAAATCGCCTGGCCGCTGATTACATGCAGCCAGACACCAGGGCGGTTAGAAGAGCACAGCAGGACGCGCTGCGCATCAGAGAAGCTTTGAAAACCAGTTTCATGACTGGCCAGGCTACGGTGTGAAAGTTCTTTTTGTTTCTCCTTGATGAAAACCCACCCCCTTGGTTCACTCTACTTCCCTGTAAGCCAACCGCCCGCCCCTCCCCCCTTTGATCTCGGCTTGCAGAGGCAATAAAGTCATTGTTGTTTCAAATTCATGCATTCTTTATTAATTCGTCACACAAATGGGGGGATAACTGCCAAGGTAGCCCGGGAGGGGTGGGGGAGGAGGGAAGCACACGGGTGGGGTAGTTGTAGGGGCACCCCCTAGAATGACATGCAGCTCATCATAGAAGCGGCATGTCTGGGGCTCTGACCCGGAGCGGCCGTTTGCCTCTGCTTCTTTGGTAGGCTTCATGCAGCACTGCTGCGGGTCCCTGTTATAACCTCTGTCCTTCATGCCCTTGGAGATTTTTTCAAATATTCCGGCATTTCGTCTTTTGGAACAGAGTTCGGATAGCACGTATTCGTCTCCCCATACAGCGATCAGATGCAGTACCTCCCGTTCGGTCCATGCTGGAGCTTTTTTGCGATTCTGGGACTCCATGGTCACCGGTGCTGATGAGCTCTGCATGGTCACCTGTGCTGATGAGCTCTGCATGGTCACCTGTGCTGATCAGCTCGCTACGCTGGCCAAACAGGAAATGAAATTCAAAAATTTGCAGGGCTTTTCCTGTCTACCTGGCCAGTGCATCTGAGTTGAGAGTGCTGTCCAGAGCGGTCACAATGGAGTACTCTGGGTAGCTTCCGGAGGCCAATACCGTTGAATTGCGTCCACACTACCCCAAATTCGACCCAGCAGGGTCGATTTCAGCACTAATCCCCTCATGGGGGAGGAGTACAGAAATCGAGCCCTTTAAGTCGACAAAAATGGCTTTGTCATGTGGACGGGTGCAGGGTTAAATCAATCTAACACTCGACCTAATTCGAGCTAAACTCGTAGTGTAGACCAGGGCCAAGATGCAGTTCCCAGTCCCTAACTATTCCAATATCAATTGAGAAGCATGTCCAAAAAGTTGGGTATTCTAAGAAATAGGTGTAATTCAAATTTAGTAATGGTATTTGAAGGTCAAGGGATTCAGGTTCATTATTTGTCCGTGATTTTAATGACCCATCCTTTGTGTGGTCTTTTATGTACCTCTAATTCCACATTGTATTGCACATGCTAGACCTATCACAAAACTAACATAATACCGTGATGATGGGTACCTTATAAATGTAAGTAATCAAATAATAATGATTTTGATTTTAAGGCATTTTTCTGATTATTATGCAAGAACTACATTTCACTCACTGCTTTATTTTTCTGTGCACATGTAATACAATAATTCAGTTTTCAGAACTCACCTATCTGCTTTTCATTGTCAGCTCAGGTACACAGGCATATGCAAGAGTTTCTTTAAGACAGTGGAAGAAATTAGAAAAGAGCTGAGAGCTAGTTTAATGAAGAAGATGGAATTAATGTGGCCACGGGCTTTTCTTGCGGCCACAGCCTCCTGGGCTGTGATTGTGGGGGCAGGAAGAGGGGAGGTGGGGAAGCAGCACCCCCTTGCCCTCCCTGTTGCTCCTGGATGCACCGCCTTGGTGTTGGCTGCTAGGGCTGCAAGCAGGGGTTGGGCCGTGCCCCCTCTGGAGACAGCTGGGGCACAACACCAGAGCAGGCACCTGGTGAGTTCCCCACCTTCCCAGGGGCGGTGGAGCTCAGGTTTTGGGCTTCAGCCCTGGGGTTGTAGGGAAGCAGGCTCTGGCTACAGGGCTTCAGGTCTGGCCCCCGATATCTCCCCCAGCACCACCACCCCGCAATTGCCCCTGGCCCCTGCTTAATTAAGTACGCTGTCAAAAGTGATATTTGTGTGTTTGTTAATACCACTTTTAACAGCAGATTTACTAGCTAGCAATAAATAAATTACAATGATTCGGACGTGTATATGTGCATATTTGTTTGTTTTTCCTAAAGGTAATTAAGTATTTTAGGAAAAAGTGTGAGGCCACCAAAAAATTTGTCCAAGAACCCCTGGAATAGAAGGTATATCAGTGGGCTTTGTGTGTCAGTCATATTGGATTCCATATCAAAGGAATTTTAATTTTATAGGATAAACTACAGCACATTAACTAACTGGGTTTGAGGAAAAAGTTCAGTGCCTAATGAACCAGTTGAATTTTCTGTGTATAATCACATTCTTAAAGAAAAAGTTTTGCTGGTATTTAGCAGAGTCTAGGATAAAGGCAAAAATGTGTGTGTGTTTTTTAAAAGACCAATTGAATATCAAAATAATATCTAAAGGACTGGATGGCAAGCGTAGAGAAGCCTTGCTGAAATGATAGATGCTGCAAAATTCAAAATAAACGCTGCTTTTAAGGGAGGTAATTTTCTTTGGTTTATTGAGAGGTGGTATCTACCCCTCTTATGGTATATAATTGTGTTCTGTTAAGGACATCATGTAAAAATTTCCTCTGCAAAATAGAGAAGGTAACAGTAATACAAGCAAAAGTTGAGACTGGGAGCATTCAGCAAAGTCAAATGTAAGAAGGCGGCACAGTTTTGATTACAGTATATTTACAGTCTACATGCAATTACTTTTTCCCAGTCAGAAATGTACAAAGAAACCTTAATAATACTATTTTATTTCAAGCGACAAAGAGTCCTGTAGCACCTTATAGACTAACAGACGTATTGGAGCATAAGCTTTCGTGGGTGAATACCCACTTCGTCAGATGAATGTAGTGGAAATTTCCAGAGGCAGGTATAAATATGCAGGCAAGAATCAGTCTAGAGATAACGAGGTTAGTTCAATCAGGGAGGATGAGGCCCTCTTCTAGCAGTTGAGGTGTGAACACCAAGGGAGGAGAAACTGTTTTTGTAGTTGGCTAGCCATTCACAGTCTTTGTTTAATCCTGAGCTAATGGTATCAAATTTCCAAATGAACTGAAGCTCAGCAGTTTCTCTTTGAAGTCTGGTTCTGAAGTTTTTTTGCTGCAGGATGGCTACCTTTAAGTCTGCAATTGTGTGTCCAGGGAGGTTGAAGTGTTCTCCTACAGGTTTTTGTATATTGCCATTCCGAATATCTGACTTGTGTCCAGTTATCCTTTTACGTGGGGACTGTCCAGTTTGTATATAGCAGAGGGGCATTGCTGGCTTATGATGGTGTATATTA